AAAAACAAAAATATGCTCTCTTTCCTTAGAAAAATAAAGTCACCCTGAAAACATCCTACCAACAAATTAAGAGAAGGCTAGATAACTGACTAATCCTGTCAAAAAACCTCCAAAATAATAAATGTCTGCTTTCTTACAAAACACATTGAAACAGAATCACAGAACAGCATGAAATGCCACCCCAAAATTACCTGAGTCACTTTAAATCACAGAATGCAGATATCATGTGGGATCTCTGAGCCATTGCACAGGCAGCCGACAGTGTTAATGATTTTTAGATTAAAAGAAAATTCTAACCAGCTAATCTGTCTTGCAGCAGCTTCATGACACAGAGTTTCTCAAGACACCTGTTAAAACACCTTGACTTTCTTGTTAAGTGGGAATCTACCAAGTCCCTGGGAACAGGAATCATGACCCACGGTGCCACTCCTGCTAATCCCACTCTAACAGAGCCCCTTTTGGCACACACACAGGGCACACTTTCCTTTGCATCTCTGCACCTAAAAGCTCCGCCTTCTATACTCAATACCTACACATCCAATATCATGAAATTTCAAGCTGAGTTTGACAAGCTTTAATAAATTAGTCACAGATCATCCTAAAACGTGCAATAATTGATCCTCAAGCTTCATAAATATTCAGTAGGATCTGGATATGAAATTTGGAAAGCTGTTACATAATTCCTGTGAAGATAGCTGAAAGAGGACAATATCAGAATGCCACCTGTGTAATTAACTAAGACACAGAGCCCTTACTTAGGAAAAAAAATTTCAAAGGACCATGTAGCACTATTTTTTTTTTTTTTAATGACTAAAATAAGCTTTTCTTCCTTCAGGAGAAAAATAGTAGTGATAAAATGTCATTCTAATGAACAAAGTATTTCCAGGACTAATATTTTGCAAGATGCTTCCATCAAAACTTCTGGAATTTTACAGGCTTCTTTCAGTTACAAAATAAAAAATAACAAATAAAACCAATACTGTAGACCACAACTTGTGATTACACTATTATCTGATAGGAGCCCGGTGTTTAAAGTATGAGATTAACAGCACATTTAATCAATCTTGGTAACACAGGCAGAATACAGCAAAATTGATTGCTGTTTAGATAATAAAATGTTGCATTTTAAAATTATTGGTACTATCACTACAGTCATGAGTATTTTCACCCTCCTTTCTCCCATTCTGCTGTAATTCTATGAAAATGGGCTGGCTCTGCAGAAAGACAAGGGTCTGTGTCAGGAAAGCTTTTTACAAGGCTAAGAATCACTCACTACTTTTTATATCTCTATCACTGGGTTGAAAGATTTCAGGTTTATCTGCCAAGAGTGACTATTTTAATATCTGCAGAATTAGACAGCCAGTGTCTTAGAATTTTTACAGAACGAGATGACAAGCTCTTGGAACACTGATGCTAATTTTCAGTAAATGCTGAGGCTACAGAAGACTGCAAAGAAAATAAAACTCTAACATAATTTCAAATGAGAAAAACAGCCTGATAGGTTAGCTTGTTATCCATCTTGCACAGAATCCTGGTATATAAACAACAGAAAGATAAAGGATGGTGGTAAAAAGTAATGCTAAACATAGGCTTACAGAAAATAGGTCTCACTAAATAAATTTGGTATGGCTTTCTGACAAGAATATAGGTTGGACTGGATAAAAATACCCTGCAGTTTCTGACCTACTATACTTAGATCTCTTTAAGATTTAGTGCTACACAGAAGTCTGATTTAGAAGTTAGTCAACATGAAGAAAACCTGGACTCTAAAACCACCTCATAAATTATTAGGGAGGCTAAAGAAAAATATTTTTAATCCACCTTGTCAATAGTTAAAGCTGTTTTCTTAGCCCTTAAAAATCATAGTCATTATAGGCTGGAATACTATAAAAAGCTTCTTCCCCTTTAACTTTTTGTGTGGTTGGGAAAAAATCATATACACACAGAGTTAAAGAAAAAAGGGAGGAGGTATACTGTAACTTTAAACTTTTGCTCTCATAGATTGTTTCTCAGGAAAGAAAAATTCAGCATTAACAGATTTCCTCAATAAAAAAAAAAAAAAGTCAGTGCACTTAAAAGCTATATTTCAGGAACAAAAAAAAGTATACTTATGAAAAAATCAAAGCCAGTTCCACACACGTGTAACATCTTGCAGTACTAAACTTACCCAGGTTGTACTTCTTGCATCCAGAATCACCTGGAAACATTACAGAGGATTATTTAACACTTTTGACAAGGACAGATGTGCAACAAATTATTATGTATAAGCTGCTCCAGGGTCTTACCATATGGCACACATAAAAGAATTCAAGGAAAGAGGGAAAATTGTGTGACATTTTAGCTTGGTTGAAAGCACACACAGGTACTTATTCCAAAAGAGCTGGCACCAAGTCAGGTGCTGTCCTCTGTGCAAGAATTTTTTCATATTGTGTGAATCTCCACTACTGATGCTTTAGGGAAGGTTCAGTTGAAGGATTATATAAAAGACTGTGGCTGATAGAATCTGCCCAGAGTACCCAAAGTGGTGAGGTACAGATAAATAAGAATAAGTTAACCCTGTTTTAGAGATCTACACCATACATCACACTGAATTGATGGCAAAGACATGGCTGTATACAGTCCAATGCAACACCCTCCACACACAACAAAGGTTGTTTCACACTTGCAAGAGGAATTCTACTTGGAAATGGAGCAAAGCAAAACAGAAACTCCTAAGACACAGTGAATTCTCAAATGCATACAGGAACCCAGCAAGCTGGACCTGGCTTCCCAGTCAAAAACATCCCATGGATATTTAATATGTCAGAACAGAGCAGGAGAGAGAACAGGCTGTTGCATCAATACCTAGCCTTAGGGAGATTCTTGATATATTTACCAAGTTCTACTTCCATTCTAAAGGAGAAAAGTTAATGAACATTGATGATGCCTGAAAGCCCCGTCTTAAAAAGAAAAATAATGGCTTTGTTCTCAAAATTGTTCTTATGAGCTTAAGATCCAGAATAAAAAATTTCATAGAAGCTCGTAATTAGTAACACATACGAAGAATGGAACAAAAGTCATTAAATGTTATTAAGTAGTCATATCTACTGCTGAATTCTAAATTGATTACTCAAGGACTATCTATTTGTCATTCTGGAGAGCTTAATAAGACTATCTGACCAAGAGTGGAATGATGAACAAAAAGTGAGAAAAGATTGCATTGGATTAAATGACAGAAAATCACACAGAAGTTCTGAGATGGTTAAATAAATAATTGTGGATTTTCATCTACAATAGTCATCTGTTTTGACCAACTTCTCTCTGTGATAAAAACCAAAAGGGCTCAGAAAATGGAAGGAGCTCAGAGAGGTGTAAAAAAATATTAAGACTTGATTAAACTGGATGTTTCAAAATGCTTAAGACTTCCAAAAGGAAATAAGTGGATAAAGAGAGAAAGGCAGTAACTGTACAAAATTTGCATAGAGAAGTTCAGCTAGGTCTTCTTTTCAACCTTTGGCAAAATACTAGGCTGTACCATAGTGACCAAAGCCTAAAGAAAAACGAAGTTTTTAGTCAAACCAACTAAATGGCAACATATCAGAGTTCATAGAAGTGAGCACCTTCAGCACAGCTTACATACTTCATGAATGCATGGCCCATTCTTTGGCCCAACCTGGGTAACTGAGTAGATCGTTAGGTTTTCATATAAAATTATATCACTCACCAATCACATAAGAGAGTACATAAAAACTTCAAGAACAGTTATCCAAGTTTCCTATGTTGGAAACGCTTTATTCCTAAAAGTTCTGGCGGAGTTTTAATGACCGCTCCCAGTAATGCTCCCCTAATAGAACCTTCCAAAGGGCCTGATCAGTTGCCCGTTGAAGACAAAGGACTGACTGGAAACAATCTAGAAATCCGTGAAGAGCTGTTAAATGCCTCCATCAAGAACAAGAAAGTGCCTCTTAATCTCTCACAGGTTTAAAACCAGGAACTAATAGATTATAGCACATATTAACTTCGTTCTTTTCTCACCCTCATTTTCCCCACCACCCTAAAACTGTCAATGGATAGTGCTCAGCAGAACAAGACAGCAAGCCACTTAAAACCAAAATTAAAAGGGAATAGAAGGGTGTCAGGCTCTGGTTAACCTCAGCTACTGTGATATACACTACAATAACATTACCAACACTGTCCAAGTCTATGGACCAAAAACCTAAAACTCAATACATGGTAACACCTTAATATCTCTTTTCTCCAGACGCCTCTAGCAACTTTTTCCAGCACCAGCTTAGTTTGCCAGGACAGGAAGAAACAACTATTTTCCCTATCTACTGATCATAGCCAAACTCACCAGGAAACATCAGAACAATTTTTGGCACGTCCCAGGCAGGCCCTGCTGCTTGTCCTCCCAGCATCGAGTGGGGATGAGCCCAAGGGCGGCCAGCCCAGCTCCCTGACACCTGTGCCACGGGCACGTCCTCCACACCGTCACCAGGGAAAAGGCACCGAGCAGCCAGCGCTCCCCCTGCCTCCAGCCAGCCACCACAGGGGATCCACCACCCTCACAGTGCCATCTCAATGACACCGGGCGCCGTGACAGCACCATCCATCGCCACCACGGCGGGACCGTCCGCCGCTCCCTTGTGCCACCACCGCCATCGCCGCAGGTGGGACCGTGCGGAGCCCGGCGGGGAGCTCGGGACCGGCGGGGCGGTGCTGACGGCACCGCGGGGAGAACACCCCGAGCCGGGAGGGCGGGCGAGGCGGCCCCGACCCCGGTGGCCTCGATGGCGCGGGACCATGTGCCGGGGGCATGGCGGGGCGGCCGGGCGGGGGGCGGCGGGGCCGGTGCGGGTGGCGGGGGCGGGGAGGTGGAGCCTGGCTGCGGGACCGCCGCTTCCCTCCCCCGTGGGGCGCTCACCTGGCGGGGCCGCCCCTCGCCAGGGGGCCGGTTCCACGCGGGGCGCGGGGCTCGCCCGCCCGCCCTCCCCGGGCCGCGCGTCCGCCGCCCGCCGGCTCAGGCCCCAGCAGCCGCCGCCTCCCCCTCCATGGCCGCCGCTCTCGCCGGCTGCATTGTGGGAAGCTGACCTCACTCGCTGCTGCCGCCGCCCCGCCGGCTCCGGCACTCGCCGCCATGGGGGCCGTGACCGACGGTGAGACCTCCCTCCCTCCCTTTCTCCATCCTCCCCTCCTTCCTCCCGCCCCGCGCCGCGACCCCCGCCGCGGCTCCCCGCGGCGCCGCGCCCCCCGCCCGCCCTCCGGGGAGCGGCTGCCGGGCCCCGCGCCCGCCCGGGGCCGCTCACCCCGCAGACCGGCCTCCATGGCGGCCCCGGGCCCGCGCCTCAGCACATCCGCCCGCTCCGGCCCCGGGAGTCGCTCCCTGCAGCGCCCGGGGAGACCCGCGCGGCGGCTGCCATGGCGTGAGGGCTTAACGGCAGTTTCTCCTCAGATGAAGTTATCCGCAAGCGGCTGCTGATCGATGGCGATGGAGCTGGCGACGACAGGCGGATCAATTTGTTGGTGAAGAGTTTCATTAAGTGGTGTAATTCCGGATCTCAGGAGGAAGGGTATCTGTTGTTTTGCTTCGTTTTTTTAAGTCTTGGAACTGCTTAGCTTGCGTTTCAGTGTGAAGCAGGGCTCGATCCATTTGGAAGAGATCCGCGTTAAAAATGTGCACAGCTGCTTTTCCTTGGCTCTGTGGTGTTTCCAGGACAAACGCCGAGGACTGTGCTGGGAGAGGAGGGCTGCAGACGGGTCAGAAATCACTGAGGGCTGCGGGCTGTATCGTGAAATGTGCCAGCACCGCTCCAATGCCCTCAGGATGCTGTGCCTGCTGCGTGCTCCAGCCGGGAGTCCCGCTCTTATAACAGGATCATGACTCGGATATTTTAGTTGGCAGTTCTGCGTTTGTTCTGTTAGGGAAGGGAAATACTGCTGGTATTTCTGCTTCTGTCGTTCTCTCTTTTTAATTTTTTTTTTTTTTAAGTAAATTAGTGAGTAACAAGTGACAGCCTTCTGTAGGGTCTGTGTTAGTAATGGATATAAAATCACAGAGATCACAATATTACCAGTGTGTATGCAGAGAAGCACTGCAGTATTAAAATACTAATTTGATGGTCACAGAGCCAACCCGAGCTGGAAAATTTATAAGCCCTGGGTCAAACTGCTCACTGCTTTAATACCCACTTTACACTGAAAATGAAATGATGCTGAAACCAATGTGTACAGGGTTTCTAGCTGCACTTCTAAAAAAAAAAAAAAATCAACTACACACTGAATATAATTTCTTTATTGAATAACTGCTATTTAGCTGTCCCTTAAGCTACGTGAAGTTTTTTTTTCTTGCTCTGTGAAGTGAGGATCAGTTTTTATGCTGCTTGAGAGTAAATGTCTTGTCTATTTTCAGATATACCCAGTACCAACGAATGCTGAGCACGTTATCACAGTGTGAATTTTCAATGGGAAAAACTCTTCTGGTGTATGACATGAACCTGAGAGAGATGGAAAATTATGAAAAAATCTATAAGGATATAGGTAAACATGAGAAAATGTTACTGATTTCTGTTTGGCAGTTTCTCCTACGAACAAGCTCAAGCCTAGTGAACATAATATATACATTTGATGAGTGGTTTGGAGGTTTTTTGGGATTTTTTTTTTCTTACTAGATAGCACTCATATATGTGTTATAAGCATCTTGTAATTTCATGGAATACATACAAACGAACTTTTTTAACCTATTGACATGTATATAGTTTTTAAGCTAATGGAGCTAACAAGCCACCATGTCATAAACACTTCTGTAATTTAGCAGAATAGCTTATTTACATCTATTGAGTTCAATATAACTCTATTTCTTTTTAAAAGAAAACAGTATAGCTGCAGCCCATGAGAAGATCTCTGAATGCAAAAAACAAATCCTGCAAGCAAAAAGGATTCGAAAAAATCGCCAGGGTAAGGTGCCATATCTGTACTAACAGTGGTGGGCTTAATTGTTTTCTGATCTTTTAGAATACATTGTATTGGAAAATAGATTCTAAATTTTTGAATGTGCAAGGCGTCATGATTACTGTATTCAGCCTGGTGGGTTCCACTGACTACTGAAAGTTTTGGGTGGATGACACAGGCAAGATTGAACCAGATCTCAATGACAGACAGCATCAGGAAAACTTAAACCAGCGTCCTTTCTGTACATCTGCTTTAAGAGGTGTATTTTTACCCTACTTTTAAAATTATATACTCATAATTCATTGAAATCTACAACACTCTAAAAGATGAGCAGTTGAGAAGAATCAAAAAATTGTTTTTTCATGATAAATAAAATGCCAAAAATTTCAGAAATATAACATGAAATATTTTAAATACAACTATTTGATTGATATTGATCTGTTAATCAATGCTGTGGATAATTTGAACTCAACTGGAAATTAAAATAACATTAAGCAGTGGAATGGGGAGTACTTACATCTTCACAAACATGTGTCTGAGATGTTTGCTTTTTGGTATGTTCTGTCCAGTCTGCAGCACAAATTTTTCCAGGTGAATGAGGTAATTTGCATGTGTATGGTCTTACTACCAGGAAATGGCTGTGTTAGTTGCCTGTATAATCATAATTTTATTCCAAATGTGTAATAGTTTTTAAAAAAATCCTAAAAAAAAAAATAAATCCATGCATAATTTTATGCTTTTTTCTAAAAATCTTTAATGTTCATGTGTAAAATCAGCACCATTTTCTGTACATATACATTTGATTGTATTGAAACCCAATGTTTATGAATCAGACACAAAAGACTAAGTGTGAGGCAATGCAGAGCTATCCTAAGGTGTTTTGAAAAACATTGAAACAGTTTTTCAAGGAAAAAGAATCTGCCATTTAATGACACCTGGGTTTGGGTTCTTGAATCCATATTTTCAGAAGTATTTAGATTAACTATTTAAATGTCTTTCAGAATATGATGCATTGGCCAAAGTCATACAGCATCACCCAGACAGACATGAAACACTGAAGTAAGTATAAAACTACATTAAATTAGAATAGAACAGTAAACTAGAAGTCACCAGACTTGACATTTCCTTGATGTCAGTTTGACTTTTCCTCGCATTTATACAATTTCTTTGACACAATAAAAACTTGTGTTTCTATGCCCTTATGAGCTTTCCTTAATCTGTATGGGTCAGAAGGATTGCTAATTGTTCTATAGTTGAATGTTTTCCACTGTTAAGGTGAATAAGTGAACTGAGATGTCAATGCATATGTGGTGTCAGTTCACCTGTGAGTTGCTCAGAAAAGAGAGATGGTGGGAAGTCCTTTAACTTGCACCAGCCAGATTCAGGAGTCACTTGAAACGCATAACACACAAGCAAGTAAGGTGGAATGAGAGAAAACAGGAGAAAACTCCTAGGTTTCTTTTTTGTTTTCCTTCTGGTTGCTGTTCCTGCATGCCCAGTTGTAAATGGCTGTGTTGTGCACCACACATAACCTGCCCTGGCATGCAGGGCAGACCTACCTGTTGTCCAACCTGCCTTGTGTGTAACTCACAGTGCTGCTTGTCACATTCTGGGTTTGCATCACTGTCTGTGCTTTTGGAGCAGTTGTGGGGAGATTAACTTTATTGAGCCATAGAAACATTCCAGGATTTATTGCATCTATGAGTTTGTTGTTCTTAAACTGATTAAAGATGTGGTGTGGGATTACTGTTCCCATATAAGTACAGCTGTGCACTTATCCTCTTCCCACTTTCAGTGAAATTGCCAAGGGAGGCTGTATTTCCATTTTCCATAACCTTTCATAGCAAATGGAAGTGATTTGGTTATACTATTTGTTTATACTATTACCTAATAATAGCATTTTTATAGCTATAAGCCACTGACAATATTTCACACATTTCTTTCTTGTATGTTGTTTTTCTGTGCCTTGATTTTATTACCCCAGCTTTGATTATTACAGGCAGTTCTCATGAGGCTTGACTACTTCTTACTTCATTATTCAGCATGTGATATTTATCAAGTGAGGCTTTAATAAAGAACTACCAAAAATGCAGTTTTTCAGATAAGTCCGTTAAGAATAGAAACAACTACATGAGAGAAGTTGTGACTGCCCCATCCCTGGAAATGTTCAAGGCCAGTTTGGATGGGGCTTGAGCAATCTGGTCTAGTGAAAGATGTCCCTCCCCATGGCAGGGGGTTGGAACTAGATGATCTTTATGGTCCCTTCCAGCCCAAACTATTCTATAATTCTGTGATAAATGATACATTTTATCTTAGAGGATGCTGAATTTTGTAGGTTTGGAGGGATTGTTCTAATTTTGCTTAACACATCCAAGCATAAGTTTCTTAAGCAAAGCTAGAAAGAGTGGTAAGTTATAGCTGGTAAGAATTCAGTCCATAGGAAATACACAAAAAATGATACAATGAACCAAAGGCCACCCTTAATTCAGAATAGAGGAAGCCTCACTAACAATGTCACACTTTTCATGGAACTCTTAATCACTAAAAACACTTGAGAAGACTTCTTGTGGGAAGAAACAGAAGGGTTTATTGCAAAAGTTAGATTTATAGCCTTTGCAGGTTATCTGGCACAATAGGACAAAGTTTAGAAAAATACTTTCTTTGTGCTTTTAAGAGTCTGTTTCTTGGAACAATGAGTCATACAGCACAAAAGAAGCTGTTAACAGCTTAGTCACAAGTAGTGCACAGGAGCCAATTCAGGAAGTGATAGGAGCAGAAGTACTGAACAGCAGTGCCCACAGTGTAATTAGATGCAGTATCAGAAGAGCTGTTCAGAGGACCAAGAAATGACACTGAATCTTACAAAAGGAAATATGAAGGTAAAAAGGCTAAGCAAAGATTCTCTGGAATGTAAAGTAAAAGAAGTAAAATTCCAGATGTAGCTTGGATGTTAGTAGAAGAAAAAAGTCTGTCCTCTCACAGTCTGCTTACACCTGACAGCACAGTGTAAACAGCAAGATTTGGCCAAATGGAAGTTTTTCAGAAACTAGAAACCAAATACTTCCAAAATCAGTGTATGAGCCTATAAGCTGAAGAAAGGGGTCATGTCACACACAACTCTCTCAGGTACCAAGCATGCTGGCTCAAAAAAAGACAGCACCCTTCAGGTAGCACTAAAATAGACCTTTTCCCATCCACAGTGACGTACTTAGGACTGGAGGGTTTTTTGTGGTTCCCTACCCAGACTAGTTGCAGCAGCTGTCAGTGACTTCAGGAAAAAAGGGTGATTTCCTTGCTGACCCCTCTATGACTCTGCCTGCTAATTAATCAGGGATGATCAGCCTCAATCCACTTCACCTTTAAAGGAGCAGTTTGTTTTCTCATTGCATGGTGCATAAATTATGATAAGCATTAGAAGTAGAAGGACCAGACTGGAGGTTTGGCTGTAAGAGTTGGTGTTCCATTCTCATTTGAAAGGTATATTATGGTACCTGCTGTTGTTCTTTGCCTCAAAAAGGGTTGTGGTGGTCCATGGTGAGCTCAAGTGAGAGCAGAAAGTTCTTCCCCCCAGAGGGTGGTCTAGCACTGAACAGACCCCCAGGGAAGTGGTCACAGCACCAATCCTGACAGAATTCAAGCAGCATTTGGACAATGCTCTCAGGCACAGGACGTGACTCTTGGGCTATCCTGTGCAGGGCCAGGAACTGGAGTTGATGTTCTTTGTGGGTCTGTTCTGGCTTAGGATATTCTAAAATTCTATGAATCTGCTTCTTTGACTTGTATTGTAGGGTCAAGTAAATAACATGCTGTGTCAGGACTGAATTGTTATAAATGCCAGGGTACAACTGTATTCCAGCTTGGAGGCCTAATTTTTTATAAATGTCCTGAAATTACAAGTCTAGAACATAATAGTTTAGAATTGCATGAAGTGACCTTATCTCTAAATTGTTTCACTTGTTTTGTTTACATAAACAGTTTATTTTATCGTTCTTTCTCCTCTACTTAGAGCAAATCTGTTTTGCAAGAATTCTACAGAATTTTTAAAGAATACTCTGACAATCTCTTTTCAGGCAGCTAGAAGCTTTGGGAAAAGAACTGCAAAATCTTTCTCACATTAAGGAAAATGTTGAAGATAAGGTAGGTTTTTCATAGAGATGGTTGTATAATAATTTGTTAGGAATACAATAAATGTAGAGTCTGCCATGGGTTGTTTGGATGTATGTGCTGTTTCCTACAACATGTATTTTATCATTCCAGTTGGAGCTGAGACGGAAGCAGTTCCATGTTCTTCTGAGCACCATCCATGAACTTCAGCAAACCCTGGAGAGTAAGTGCTGTTCTTTGGTAATAGGTATAACTGGGTTATGTTTTAGCAGATGAAAAGGAATCACAACTTCCAGCAGGGGGATAGCTCTGTGCAATTGAGGCTGGTGACCTCTTGCATTGGCAGAATTTTTTCTCAGCAGTAGTCCAGAGCCTGAGACTGCTCTGAGTTTTTTTTACTTCTACAAGGTACCCACTGTGCCATTTCCTGACTAGCTTCAGGTTAATTTGTAGGCAGCAGTATTCTTTAAAATGTGAGGATGGAAAATAGCAATTTGAGGTTTGTTGGTTTTATTTTTTAACAGTATTTCTTACAGAGAGTTATTCTTGTGCTTATTTCCGAATTTCGTTTTATAATTCCTATTTCAGTAGTTTTGAACATGTCACTGCTACCATGGTATCATTTGAGGCTTTACTAAAAAGAAAATTAAATACAAGGAAGATAAATGACAACCAGCTGAGACTGTGAATCTGTGATAGAGCAGGGACTAAAACTGTCGGACACAAGAGCTAAATTCAGGATTTAGTCGTACTCATCTTTTCTCATACAAATACTTAATATTTTCAAATCGGCGCTAACTTTTCATGCTCTAATATGGGTAATATTTTTTAAGTATTTGCTGTATATTTGCACTGTTTTTCAAAGACAGAGCAATTGGTACAGCCTCTGAGTATGACCTGATTAAATGCAGAGATGGCTCTAAGAGCAGACTTTCATTCTCTAAGGCCATCTAGATCTTCTTAAGCAGAATGAACTGTTAATCCTAGGTGCACTTTAGCAGAAGGTTATTGTTATTATGTGTTACTAACACTTGCTTAAGTATTAGTCTTGAAAATGCATTTTCATGTGATTATATAGATTACTTTTCAGGATTTTGTGAAGGAAGTAGTAGTTTAGTGAAAAGCACAGCTTCAGTATAGAATAAATAAACCATTAGTAGGCAAAGAGAAGGAAGGGGTTAGAAGCAATCTGGTACCATTTGCTTCAACTGACACTATAGAATTTACCCCATATTTCCAGTAACAGCTGTTTGAGATAACATCCTTAAAACCTGAAGGATTTTTTTGTTTGTTTGAACATAGCATTTTATAGAATGAGATACTCAACTACACATTTAAGGCAATCAAAATATTTAAGCGGGACAAAAGTTCTGCAATATAGTCTGTACATATGACCAAGTGTGTTTGACTAACAGTAATATTGAATTTTAGATGATGAAAAACTTTCAGAAGCTGAGGAATCACAAGAAACTCAGATGGAAGCAGAGGCCAAGCAGTAGATGTCATATGAAGACTGACAATTACTTCATATAAGTATCTTCACTTTCTGTTGAGGTCAACAGTAAGATTGAGCTGGAAATTGTTTTCTACTGCTTCTGTGAATTTTTATACATGTTTTGCATATGTTTCAGGGGAAAAGAGTTGCAGATGTTTGCAGGCAGTCACTTGGTGATAATCCACAAACTTTGTAATTTGTGACAAATATACTTTGTTTCACAAAGGATGAAGCTTTTACACCATACTTGTGAACTAAGGTGCTTGTAACACTTTGCCAATAAAAGGTGTTTTCACAGATTTTCCTGTTTTTAGTAGCAATTGAGCCTTATAATAGCCTCCTTTTCTTATGTGTTATCAGACTAAGGGCAGTGCATCTTTTCATGAGTCCCAGCTTCCATACCCTGTTCTAGATGGGACCCAAATCTGAACTAAGTAGGCTCCTAGTTTTTCAAAGTAGCTGCCATTTTAGAACTTACTGTGACTAGACTAGAATGTGATTGTTTCATACAAAATAAATTAGTTCTGTAGAATTAATGCTTGTTAAGGGTTATAAAGAAACCAAAAGTGATACAGTACTAGCTTTAATTTTTTCCTCAAAGTGATGTGAAGAACTGCAATGATCCAAGCCTTGCTCTGCTGTGTTTGTTGTACCACATCAATAGTCACATTTTGAAATAGCATATTTAAAACTTCAATTTAAAAGCTTTGTTCTGGAAGAGCCAGGAGTCTAATCCCAGTACCATTTATAATCTGCTTCTGGATTTTATCTGTCAATCGTCTATTATCAAAACACATCATAATTTCTGAAACAGATGGTGGAACCCTTCTTTTCTCATGATGACAAACTGAAGCAGTAGAGCAATAATCACAATGTTAAAGACTCAGAGATACTTTTGTTATTAGTAGGCAAAGTGGAATCTATCCATGCACCTGGATCATCCTACTGTCTGAGCATTCCGTTGGGAAGTAAGAAAAGTTTCAACCTTCCCCAAAAGAGAAGAGAATGGAACATGCTCTACATATTTTTGTAAGGCAGAGAGGAAGGAACAAGGGGCAGTAGTAGGTCATGTTCTGAAAACACTCACTAAATGGAACCTTCCTGTGGTTTGGGTAAAGGAAAACTTTGGATCTCACTCAGACTGTGCCATAAGCATGCGTGGTTCAGGTGAAATAACAATGTTACATGGAACAGAGCTGCTGTCTCACTAGCTGGCAGCTGAGGGGGATTTCCACAACTGAGACTTCAGACATCTATAACTAGATGTCTATGATGCTATGTAATCCCCACTCTCAGTGGCTGTGGATCTGTGTGGGTTGGGGCTGAACAGACATATCTGAACTTGTTTTGCTTTTATTCCAAGTTTGCTAAAGGCAAGCCAGCTGTATAAGAAGTCACACAGCTTCAGTAGCACAGTGGAGCCTTGAACTAATAAGCTGTCAAAAGGCTTCTAGTTCACAGCTGGTCAGCTCAGAACACAGGGGAAGCTCAGGTTTGCCTGATGGAGCCTGTACAGACATGCAGGGCTTCTCATCCACTACGAATTTGGCAGGTTGAGGGGTGGCTAAGCAAACAACAGGCTTTTAGAAGTACACCATCAAAACCATTAAGTGTACGGGTTTTTTTCCCCTCAACAACAGGGAATGGTAAAAATGGCCTCCATGAGCTATCTGGACTGTATTTTGTGCAGAGGAGGATGATATTCACCAGTTAAAAACAGTCTTTGTCACAGTGAAAATCTGAAATTTTTCCATTCATTGTTTTACATAATCCTTTAGAATCTACTTGGATCAGTCAAGTATCTTATCTCAGAACTTGCACTGCTATGTATAGAACCTGACCAGAAACATGCCAACACCTAAGTCTGACCCTCTGGTAAGGAATATTACAGAGAAATAAGAGTTGTACCCAAGAGAAGCAATACAAATGCATGGCAAAGGAATATATTCTAGTTCAAATTACAGTGATGCAATCTTGAAAATAAATTACTGCCTTGGAAAATCAAGTTGCCTTAGTGCAAGGTGGCAGCAAGAAAGTGATGTCAAAGAAAAAAGTAACATAAATTCATTGCAAACACAACCTCAGTGGGACACCCAAAATATTTGCTCCTGTTTTTTTCAGTATTTATACCACTAACCTCTTGAACATTAGATTTGTACCAAAAAACAAAACCAAGTGGAATTCATATACCAGCCACTGTTTAACCTGCTTTGTTACCAAGACTCAGGTTCCAGCTCTGAATCTGCCCTGCATATGCTGGAAATGTATATCTGCATGTCCTTTAATCTTCTGTTCCAGAAGTTTTCTGTGTGTCATTTTTGCAAGGCACACATGATGGTCACTGTTACATCCCTGCCTAGAAAGTTCTCCTCTGTCATGCTGCTTACCTGCATCGACTTTAAATGTAAATGTATAAAAACCTAGGTACATAAATTCACAATCCCAAAAACCACACTATTTTAAAAAGCTGTTTCTGGATTTATGATTTTCCTTGACCCTATCTAAGCTGAAAAATCATTATATGCCTAAGTGGTCCATCTCAGTGCCCTTGTCATGTGGATGCAAAAATACAAGCAGAAAGAGTTGCTGAAGTGATAAACTGACACTTTCAGTGCCAGGACTTGTTTTTCTGTCCTGTCCAAAGGAGAGCAGCAGAGGGGGAGTGGAACATTGGACAGAATTGGCAGCTTGAACAAGATTTGTTAAGACAGATTTAGCAAGCTTCATGAAGGGATAGAAGGAGGAGAAAGAATGTCACCGTGACACACTATCAAATGATGGGATATCTCTGAAACCATGTTAATTTGAAGAAAGTTGCTGCCAGGAAAGAAAATTGAAAAAAAAAAAAAAAAATCCCAAAGATTTATGAGCTAGAAATTATGAGTTATTTGAAATACTTGGAAGTTTTTCAGATGTCACAGCTGGCTTGTACCATTCTTTCCCCCTTTACTCAAGGCTCAGGTGGGTTTCCTTTTCACATATGTTTAAAAAACTAAGGAAAAAAAATCAGAAATGCAGGCAAGTACTGTTAGTTCTGCTCTGGTAACCTGTGTGGATTTTTCTTTCTCAACTAGCTGCATTAGGATGCGTATGAACCACGAGGAAGGAACTTGGGAACAGACTCGTTTTTCCACACTTGTTACAATTATGTCTGCGTGGCTTTTGTGAGGGGCCACAGCCCGCGGCGGCTCCTGGAGCTGGAGCGGTGCCGGAGCCGCGCTCGGGGCCGGCAGGGGGCAGCAGAGCCCGGGCTGGGCGGGCGCTCACCGGGATCCGCATCCCATCCCATCCCTTCGCATCGCATCCCATCGCATCCCATCGCATCCCATCGCATCCCATCGCATCCCATCGCATCCCATCGCATCCCATCGCATCCCATCGCATCCCATCCCATCCCATCCCATCCCATCCCATCCCATCCCATCCCAGCGGCCCGTTCCTGGGATCCGTACGTCCCACTGTCCCTGTTCCCAGTGCTTCCCAGCCTTGTCAGCTCTTTTCAGACATTTCCTTTTTCATTTTGGTACCGTTTCCCAAGCACAGCCAGTCCTACCACTGCCTGGAGGGGTTAAAACCCCGGAGAATCATGGAATATCCTGAGTTGGAGGGACCCACAATGTTCACAGGGCCCAGGTCCTGGGCCTGCACAGCACAGCCCCAAGAGGATTTTCCCTGCTCACCCCCACACTTTATTTTCACTGGGTTTGGGTTTGACTTGCCACCACACCATGTTGCCTGTACTACCCTGATTCTCAAAGCCTCTCTCTAAAATGTCACAAAACACTGCCAAGGAGCAGAAGGTGCAATCCCAAAACCTCCACTCTTTGGGATGCCACATGATACAACACAAGTGTATCCAATTCTTCATTTTCCTGCTGATTATGCCAGATCCCAAACCCTCCACGCTGCCTCCCCCATCCATGCAAGGGCTGGAAAAGCAGTCTGACAGTGCAGCAGGAACAAAGCACCCTCTGGCATGCAAGATTCTGCTGCCTCCAACACATTCAGCCCCATCATCCTGAAACCAGGACAAGAGTTGTTTCAGGATCACTACATACTGGTTTGCTCTGAATTTGCATCATCATAGTGAGAAACTTGGCAAAAGCTTGCTAAAAGCACTATAGTGCATGAGATTTCCTAAAATATTTAACAGCAAAGACATGTGTTTTTAAATTGCTTTCACAAGAAAGGGAAAAGAAAAAGTAAACTACCTAAACAACTTTTTGTTTCATGTTTTGTCAGTTTGCTGACAATGCAAAGTCACCATCAAGAGAATTTAAAATGATGGTTTATCTCCAAGAAGGAAAGGAGCTGGCTCTTCTCAACACAAAAGTTTCATCAGAAGTTTATGCTGGAAATAGCAGTGTGTGCTGCATGTAACAAATAGGCCTCACTAGGAGCCCATTTGGAATAAAAACAAAATATATAATTTATGATGTGGCAGGGCAAGCTGACTTGTAGACACCTTCCCAAAGACTTACATAAAATATTATTACACTTAAGTCTTATATGAGCCTAAATGAAATTCACATTTCCATTTGCTGCACCAAAATTCTGTCCATGAAGAAGCAAAAGCCTGTGGTAGATTATCAAGCATAAGACACACATTTAGACACAACACATGGAAACAGCCACCACTGCCCAGTGCAGCTTCTCCCAGTTACATTAAGCAAACTCTGACAACCTTCTGGATATTCAGAGGTGAGGATGTTTGAACTTGTATGAGAGAAAACCTGGGGGGGGGGGGGGGGTGAGAATCTTGGGGTTTTTTTCTTAATTACCTCAAATGCCTATTGATGTCAGTATCTTCTGACTCACTCTGCATGAATCCACAGAGAGCTTTCAGATCAACTATCTTTTGCTCTGTTATTGTGGCTGCAAGAGATGGGAAGGGTCATGGAGCTCTGGGATCACCACACCATAGTATCAGTGTCCCCTGTGCTCAGCAAGGTGCAAAACTACAGTGGGGACATCCCCTGCAGTGGGAGCATCCACCACCTGCCCACACACCCACAAATGCCCTGGTGCCAGGTACTGGTTATTCTGGAGCTTTTCCCTTGCTGGTTATTTTTCAAAGCTTGCACATCTGTGTGAGATTTATGCCCTTCTGACAAACTGGCACTTCATGTTATTGAGGTGACTTGAGGAGTGATTGAAGGCAAACTGGTGGTTTTGATGGCAGAAACCTTCCCTGGGAGACCTGTGCCTCAGTCAAATAAAATGTGAGCAGCAAAACGATTTGCTGGTGTGTAACAGCAGCAGGAGTCACTGGAGGAATGAGAGAACTTCTGCACCTCAG